AACAATGTTTAAATATTGCTAGCATTTAAATTCACAGATATACAACCATATTGGATCTTGATATTTCCACCTTTAGAAAATTTCTATAAAAATTTCGACCTTCATGTGTAAAGTCCTGGATTTGAACATCAGCACCACACACACAAATGAAGGGTGAGGGTGGATGGAGACTTGAGTGCTCTTTATTTTTGATTCCTGATTGAAGTGTGATCCCCGCCTACTGGAATTTGGAGAATCAGGATTGAGGATGCTCAACTCCAATCCGAGTAGGCTTGGAGATCTCGGCCCTGGAACCCGCGTGGCTTTGTCCCTCTGCCAGTACCTTCATGTGTGTGTAGAGTGGTCTCGGCATGGTGGTGCCTGGTCCTGGAGGTCTTCCGCTGCTGGAGCCCTGGTCGGGGCGGAGAGGAAAGCTCAACCTGCTCCCCTCCAAGGGACCCCGGCTAGGAACAGCCAGGCGCAGGGGCAGGAGACTTCATTGGTCTCGTTGTGTAATTCCATCAGTGGCCAAGACTCAGAGACTATAAAATCCAGCTCCTGGAACCCGCGGGACATCTTATCAGGACATCTTTTTATGACATCTTATTATCTCATTTCTACTTTGGACAAAATTGCAGGCTATCGAATGTAGCCTGCCCACAGGGCAGAGTCTGGCAAACTCCCCGTGGCATAACAAATATGCAAATACCAGTAACAATGATGGGTCTCATTCTCCTAAAGAGCCTTGAATATAATCTCAGGGCTAGGATGAAAGAGACATTACTGGGGCCTGCTCGAGGCAATCGACAAATAACAGGATGATTAATGATGAATGAATGAATGATTGAAGTGTGCATAGTAAACTTTGATTAATGAAAAAACAAGCAAATAAATTTTAGAGATCCAAAAACAAAACTCCTGAAAATTTCAAATAATTTTTGTTTCCTGAAGTGAGCATGGAAGGTGAAGATTCTAAATCTTGTTTTTTGTTCTTTATTATTATTATTTTTTTTATTGGTGAAACACCATGATGTACAGTTGTAGACTTAAAAATTTTTTGTGCTTGGGTTTCAGCTATATAATGATCAAGTACTCATCCCTCCACCAGTGCCCATTCTCCACCACCAAAGACCCCAATATCCCTCCCACCCCCCATCTCCCCCTAGCCCACCCTGCCACTGTGGCAGGGCATTCCCTTTTGTTCTTTCTCTCCTATTTAGTGCTGTGGTTTGCAAAAGAGGCATTGAGTGGCAATCATGTTTGGTCTATAGTCTACTTTCAGCATGCATCTCCCATCCTGGGAGAATCCTCCCAACACCCTTTATTTGGTGCTCCCTGGCTCTGACAGGCTGGCTGTGCGCAAGGCAAATGCTCAGCGGATAGGGCGCACAGCCAGCCTGGCCGAGCCAGGTTCGATTCCTCCGCCCCTCTCAGAGAGCCTGGCAAACTACTGAGAGTATTCAATATGCCAAGCACAGAAACAAGAAGACTCACAATGGAGACGTTACTGGGCCCACTTGAGCAAATCAATGAACAACGGGAGGACAGACAGACAAACAAGGAGGGGCTCATAAATTGTACTCAGGGTCCCATAGTCCTAAGTGATTCAAGGTTAAAATCCAAGAATGCAGTGTTGCTCTTGCCCTGAAGTGTCACAGAATCCCTGGGCTGCCCCTGCAGTGCTTGAGGACACACACGGTGACATCTGGCAGTACACAAGGTCCTTTTGGTTCCATCCAGGGAACCATGGTTTTCTGGAGCTGAACCAGTGTTTATAAAATATGTAAAACATGCATCTTACCCTCTTTGTTATCTCTCCACATCTTCTATGTCTTGGTCTAACTCTAGTTTTATGTTTTCAGTTCACTTTGGAAAAAAAGAATGACATTATCATACATATAGTTTACCATTGCATTTCTTGAAATTAAAACTGATTCAGATAACAGAAAAATATCATCTTAGATTAAAATAGTAGATTACGAAGAGCCCTGAGGCAAGATATGTGTTTGTGAAGGCAAATCCTAATATTGCACACAGGTGCTTAGTACGGTCCATGTAACTCTGCTTTTGAATCGGTAAAGTATATATCTATATCACAAGGCATTTTAATAAAATATAGTTATATAAAACTAAAAGAATAGGAAAAAATAATCCATGATCTTTTAAAAAAGGGGACTATAATAGAACTGATGATCTCGTTCCATTCTCTCAATGGTTCTTATTTTGAGTAGTATCTCATTTTATTATTTTTTAAATTCAATTTAGTTTTATAAAGTTGTTTGTAATAATTGATTCCATATTTAAACATTAATACTATCAACATTCCACCTTCCCACCATCATTATTTCAAATTTTCTCAACCACCAACCAAGCCTGCCCCAATGGTAGAACCTAAATAATTAAAAAATAATTTTTATTTTATAAGTTACTTCACAATATTTGATTACATTCAATATTCAAACACCAATACAACCACCATTACAGTTTCCCACCACCAAATTTGGGATGTTTCCATTCCAAGACCCAAGCCCTGTCCCAAAACACAAAGCAAAGAATATATTTTGTATTGGCTCTTATAAAGAACTGCTTAAAATGCTTACAAAACTGTGTTCATATATAAAGCAGTGTGAACATTGTTCTATTTTGGCAGGAACAATTAAGATATTCTATAGGATATTACTAACATCTTGTTATTGTTTGGGTGATATGAGCTTTAGTCTATATGTCCAAAATCTGTATATATGCATATATATATTTCCCTCTATGATTTGTTGCATACTGTCTGAACTCCATCATATATTATGTGGTAATTATTAAAATGGGTAGGGAGTGTCTTACACTGTGTCCCACGGACGCAAGAGCAGCCTCGAAGTCAAGAAATATATTCACTCGTGCATGAGGTTCGACACGAGCATGTGGAAAGCTGCCTGGAGTGTGGTGGCATTTGGGTTATGGAGGTGGGCTGCCAAGGCTGGGTCCCTCGGGGCTGGGAGAGCTCTCACCCGCACCCCTCTGGGGCGCCCCGAATGAAAACATCTTGGTGCTGAATACGTGAATACGGTGGCATTGTTATTGGGGCTTCATTTTATGCTCAATTTCGGGAGAAGCAACCGTGAGTTCTGACCCTAAATAATTTATCTTGTATTGCTTGTTGTGAATAATCTGTCAAAATGATCAAAATGTTTCCTTAAAAGAAATTGTGTGAAGTTTTTTTTTTTTTTTATCTTACTCTGGAGTCATTAAGCCCTGTATAAGAGATTACTAATATGCCAAGCCTTGTATGCTAATATATATACATATATATATAGTTTGTTTGAAATAAGTTGTCTATTATTTTACACCCCATTAAATGTCCTGTGGGACTCCTGGTACACCAATAAAGCATAGTATGGGAAGTCAGGCCATGTGCTAAAGGAATTCTAAAATTTTTAATAGGGTGATAGAGCTGGAGTTAACTTTTTAAATGGATGTTGTCTTTGTTGTTCTGATCAACCAGGTACAGAAGCATCTCTGCAGCTTTTTGATCTCTTCCAAGATTCATTTGTGTGTCTCTGGATCATGGCCATTAATGAGCTTATATGGTGCCAAAGTTAGTTTGTGGGCATGACTACCAGGTTTCCAGAAGAACAGGCAGATGGGGAAAGCTCACCTATAACAACTCATGAGAGCTTGGGATTGTCAGTCATAAAATCCACATATCTGAGGTATTCAACAGATTCACCCATGCATGAGATCCTCCCAACCCTGCGGAGACTGGTCTTGAGCATAGCAGTGATTGGGTTCTGGAGGTTTTCAGCTGCTGGGATCTGTTTGGGGGGAATGTTGGGCTCCTTTACTCCCTCTCCAAGTTGCCCCAGGTGAAACTCAGCATTGTATGGGTTCTGGAGCCATCTCTTGAATAGTACCTTCTAATACTAGGAATGAGTGGATGTTTCCAAGGTAAGTACACTTGATCCTGGGGAAATGTGAAATTATCATATCTTCAAATTGCTATATGCTAGTAGCTTAGTAAGAAAGGTTTTGGTTTATCCTAGAATCATAGAACATTTTAATATGTCTTCTTATAAATAGTTTATGCAAACACCAAAGATTAAATAATATGTAATTTAACATTTTATCCTTAGACTATTATCTCCAAAAATTACTTTACATGCTGATAATCAGAGTGACACTGAATCTTGCTTTACAAAGATTATGAGACCAAAATTATATATTCTTTAAAGAAGCTATGACAGAATCCATTCTTTCAGTAGAAGATGGAAACAAGTAAAATGTTTTTCTAACTTGAAACATGAGAAAACGTTATATTTAGATATGATGGAGCAATATTCTTAAGAGCACTTACAGGATGCTGTCAAGGGGAAATTTTGGTTGATTCAAAAATTGAGTAAACTTTTGACTTTATATCTTTTAAAGGTTTTGTGTGCTCCACTATGTGCCCCCAATTCTTCAAAAATTTACAATTCTGCAGTCATTTTAAGGACAAAACAAATAGCTTTATAGTGGTCTTTCATAAATAACAATAAGAATAGTTGTATCAATAACTTTTTATAATTCAAAAGGATTCTTCTATGGCATTCCTTGGTAAACAAATCTTCACAGCTTTGGCATTTAAAATACAAGTTTCTATATACACATCTCTGTAAGCTCAGTAATGATTTGAGATGAGACTAATGCTTGCTACTATAGAACTGGTATTAGAAAAGAATTTTTTTATTCAAATGCATGAGTATTTGTCCCAGGATTAAGTATTCTTTATTCAAAAATTATTTAAACTCTAGGCACATTAGGTTTAAGAATGGAAAAATTTACTATCTTGGTACAGAAATGCTGTGTAATTGTGTATTTAATATTTTTTTTGCTTTTAGTTGTAGAAGAGCAACTTTCAAAACAGTTGAAACATTATGCATGAAGAATAATTTTTAAATATAAACCATCATTCTATGCTTATTGCTTACATTAATTTTTGAAAAAAAAACAACTGTAAAAAGAAGAGACTTTAAATAGTCATTACTTATACCATGGAAGTGCTATCGGTCAATTATATCTTCTCTAGGAGCTTTGTTGTGTTCAATGGAGTATCCAAGGAAATGTTTATTTTCTTTCTGTTTCCAATTTTTCTGACTGCGGAATACAGAGTACCTCCTGTGCTCTCAAATACAACTTATGTTATAGCATGGAATGCTCCAAGTGACAAATGTATGAGACTCTATCAAATTTTTATGGATTTGAGCATCTATTCATTAATAGGAATCCCTGAAATCCGTACCATAAATCAAAATGTCACCTTCTTTTCTGCTGATATACTCGGCCGCTATCCTCACTTAGACAGTGACACAGGATACGAAAGATATGGAGCAATTCCTCAGTTGGGAGATATAAATATGCATTTGCAAAAGGCTGAGAGCGACATTGTCTCTTACTTACCGAGAGATCAGTTAGGCTTGGCTGTAATTGCATGGGATGCCTGGAATCCTCTCTGGTTAAGAAACTTGATTGACAAATATGTTTACAGAGTCAAATCAATTCAAAAGGTTAAGAAAAGCAATCCAGCCCTTGGAAATAAACAAGCTGACATTGCTGCAAAAAAAGAATTTGAACAGGCAGCAAGGGAATTCATGGTAAGAACTTTGCAATTAGGAAAGCGTCTTCGACCAAGAAATTATTGGGGTTTTTTCCATTTTCCTAATTGCTACAATAATAATTATCGTAACAATAAAAACTACACTGGAAGTTGCCCTGAAGTAGAAAAGCAAAGAAATAATGAGCTCAACTGGTTGTGGAGTGAAAGCACTGCACTTTATCCGTACATTTACTTGACTGCAGATTTAAGAAAAAGTCCAAAGGCTGCACTGTTTACTCGTAATCGTATTAATGAAGCCATTAGAGTTGCTAAAGTATCCAATAGTAATAAACCACTTCCAGTTTTTGTATACGTGCGTCCTGTTTTTCGTGATAGACCCACAGAATATCTTTCTGAGGTAAGTAAATGAAGTAAGATAACTACGAAATTTTTTCACAGTGCTATTTAGTGGATTTCGACTGCATTTTAAGAGAGCAAAATCCAACTTTATTTTTAAGTTATTAGGGGTTATTTTGGGGGGCGGCTGTAGTGATAGCACTGCGGTAGGGTGTTTGCCTTGCGTGCAGCCAGCCTAGGTGAGCCGGGTTCGATTCCTCCGCCCCTCTTGGAGAGCTGGCAAGCTACAGAGAGTATTCAATATGCCAAACACAGTAACAAGAAGTCTCACAATGGAGTCGTTAATGGGCCTGCTTGAGCAAATCGATGAACAACGGGAGGACAGAGAGTGTTTTTTTTTTTTTTGGCACTGTACTTAAGACTTGCTCATGGCTCCGTGATCAGTGATCACTCCTAATGGGCATTGCAGACTATTTGGTGTGCCAGGGATCAAATTGTGACTGTCCTGTGGAAGATAGGGGCCTACACTGTGTACTATCTATCCAGCCCTAAAATTTTTTCTGTTATGTTATTGTTTTTTGAGCCATATATGCCAGTGCTCAGAGATTATTCTGGCTCTGCACTGAAGGATCACTCTGGACAATTTTAGGGAATATATGGGATTCAAGAATTGAACCTGGGTAGACCTGCTGCAAGGCAAGAGCCTTACCCACACTACAATCTCTTGGATCCTAAATGTCACCTTTGATAGCTTTTGGGAACAAGCTTACATAATTTTATATCTGTACACATGTACAAAATAATACTCTAATTTTTTTAAAATTTACTTATATCTGTGATTGAGGTTAAAAGGTTGTATAGAAAATGTAATAACAGTTTATTTTACTATTAAGTGCTGCCTTCTTGACGCTAGAAGCAGTTAAATGTGTTAAAGGATAATAAGTGATGGGAAGGTAGTAAAATTATTGTTGACTCAGCACACTTATTTATAGTATTACTTTCCTAAAATGACATTTTCATCTGTCTTCTGTCAACTCTTTCTATCTCATTTTCCAGACTGACCTTGTGAATACAATTGGTGAAACTTATGCTCTTGGGGCCGCTGGAATTATAGTATGGGGAAGCTTCTCTTTAACCCACTCTAGGGTAAGTTGAACTGATAATAAACAGATGGAAGCTTTTCCTTATTTAATGCATTGATATTGTGATGTTGAATAATGAAATAAATGTTACATTTTGACGCATAGTAGTAGATGTTTAATGAATTAATCATTCTTGTTTTGTGAATTTATTTAACAAGAGAGAAACATTTTAGTTGTTGTAATCAGTAAAAAATCAGTGATAAGATAAATTAATGACATTAAATAGAAATAGAAATTTAAATTCTCTAGTTTTGAAGAAGCAGAAGTAAAATTACCCTCTCAATTAATTGACAGCATATAGGATTATTTTTCTGCTACATTGTATATTTCTCTTTAAAGAACTATTGTTATTTATTATGCATTTGCTTAATTTTTTTATTCATTCACTATTATTTGGAAACCAGTTATTTAATTACTGATTAACAGTAACATATTGTAGACATAAACAAACAGTAGCCATGGGTGAAATCTGGCTGACATTTTTCTTTGTACAGCTTTTATGTAAATCTAATAATGTCTTAGTTTTTTTTAATATTAAAAGATCAAAAGCATAATATCTCATAAAATGTTTTACAATGTACATTAAAATTTCTATGTCTTTTATTATAGTTTTGAAGTTTTTTGGGGGGGAAACATAGCATGCTTGTTTGCTTAGATCTCTATGACTATATGCATTTACATTTCATTGCTAAGTTGTTTGATGCTGAGAACTATATAATTATAAAACTCAAGTATTTATCCTCTGGTCCTTAATAAAAAATAAGCACACTTGATTATTAAAGAGAAATTAAGATTAGATGGCAGGCATTTGTCCTGCTTGGCTAATGTTTGGTTTTATTGGAACAATGTCATCAGCAAAACAGAGGTGGTGTAGTTGTCGACCATCTATCTTCACTCCCATTCCTTCCCATTCGTCATCACATGACGTTCTTGAGGGTGGCACTAAAGAGTTTCCATGAAATATTATCACCCTGCCAAACCCGTCTCTTGACATGGATGATCACTTCTTTGTAGAATGGTGAGATCCTGGTAGTGAATCCATAATACAGCTCACGGAGGATCCTGATGTATTGAGTTTGAACGCCCTGTTTGGCTAGAGCCCCAATGACTACTTCAGTCTCAACAGATTCAAAGGACTTCTTTAATCAATGAACATTAGACAGAGCAACATCTTGAACTCCCGAGAAACCTCAATGGGCTTGGTGATCATGTGGATATGGTCGATCATGATGAATCCTTTGTGGAACCCATCTTGCTCGCATCGTTGTCCTTCATCTAGTGTTCTGCCAATCCTATTCAGGATGACTCGAGTGAACAGCTTGTAGATGACAGACAATAGTCAGATCAGGCAATAGTTGCTAATAATCTCTATGAAAAATTATAATGCCACCTCTGCTGGATATAAATTCTCATATATCCTATGTATGGGGAATTCAACATAAAATAATATTAAACTCATAAAATTTATATTTATGTTAATGTAGTAGAAAGAATATTAATGTAAGAAAATGCTCAATTTGTAAGTTATATGCAGAGCATTAGGAGATATGTTAGATATAACAATGGTATCTAAGAAAGTTATTCTTATGAAGGTTGACTCTGAATGGCAATGTAGTGTCTAGTTTGTTATAATATAGGACAAAGTTTTCTATGCTGAGAGAACAGTAAGTGCTTCTAGAAATGCTAATGCTGTGCTAAGAAATAATTAGCATGTATAATGATGAGTGACAGTCATATAAGAGAACATATAAACTACATTGGGTTGTATACTAGTGATGAGATGTTCAATATTATTCTAACCATAATTCAAAGCTATTAAAGGATTAGTAAGGCTTTTTCTCATCTGTCCATAATTTTTTAAAACAAATTTAGTGATTCAGGCAACCAAAAATCATTATATCTTATAGTTCTGTAAGCAAGAAGTTTAAGATAAATTTCAAGGTCTGAAAATCAAATAATCATCACGGTTTTATTTTTTCTACAGAGAATCCAACTCACTCAATTACTTTCTTCTGATAACAAAAATAAAAACTCGGATATTTGACTGGCTTCTGTAACCTAGACAATCCTACATTTTTCAAAATGAGACTTCCTCTATTCTCAAAGCCAGCAATGTTTGAGTCAATTCCTTTGACTTTAGAATTTATTTATCCCTGACGCATCTCACTTATAGTTTCCAAGTCAAAAAGTTTCTACATCTGAAGCCACACAATATGACCTCACTGTCTTTACTATTATTCATGTCTATAAGTTACCATAATCACAGGTTCCAAAGAAACATATTAGGGATACTTTCATAAAGCTATTATTTGATTATCATTTGTGTAATCATATAAGTGAATGTAAGAATAGGTTGTAAAGAATCGGATAAGATGTAACCTGACTTATCTATGGACTGCCCTCTACCACATACTTTAGTTGTCTGATGGATGAACCTTGTTAGCTTGCTTCATGAGGCTGTTCATTAAAAAAAAGGTAAAAAAAATCATCCAAAATAAAATTAACAATCTTGGGTCACAACTCTAGTACAGTGAATAGAGCACTTGCCTTGTACGCACCTCATCTGGGTTTCATACTGGTATCCCCTAAGCTTCTCTGAATACAGCCAGGGGTAAACATTGGGTGGAGATCCAGGAGTAAGACCTGACCACTTTCAGCTGTGTCCAAAGCCCACCCCTGAATAAAGAATTAAATGAAACAAAAGTTAAAATCTAAGATTATTGTTCCATAACTATAATGTCCTGTTTTCACTTTGAAAAATTTTAGTTGTTCATAATTCACATTCTGCCCAAAGAATAGTTCTAAATTAAATATAAATTTTATAAATAACTTTAATTATATATTGTTTTTAATATTAAGTATTTTCAGTTTAGTACATTGCTTCATGTTGTAATTTTAGAAGTCGTATACTTTAAGACTGTTTAAACTTGACTAAAAATTTGATGCTTATATTTATTATTTCTTAATTGCTAATGGCAATATGCAGTCCTGGTCTTAATACTTTTATGCACCTGGTACCTTTTTATTGTATGGGGAAATACTATATTTATCCTTCATGTATAGTATAGTGGAAGCATAATCTGTTCAATTGATTTAGCTTAAATCATCTAGTTAAAAATTGAAGACTTATAAAATGTGAATAGAATGAAGAGATAGTAGCAGGATTATGTCAAATGGCTTTACATGCAGTCCCCACAGAGCACTGCCTGGTGAGGCCCTGGCCGTGCCTGAACTTTGAGGGATCTGAGCAGCACTGCATTCTCAAGCTCTTTCACTGAAATATAGTATCCTGGTTAGCAAAAATTTATGAGCAGCCCATGGAACCCTCCTGAGCACTACCCAGGAACCTTTCCTCTCCAAAAAGAATGAAAGATTCCTAACTTGACTTTGATAGTAAGTGGAATGAAAGCTACATCCTCAACAGAACCCTCTCAAACTGGCATACTAAATCTTCCTTAATACCCATAAATGTATCAAATATGAAGGAAGACCATGCATAAGGTAAGTTTCAACCAATTATTGCATGGCCTAAAATAGCATGTGAAACTCACATAGAAATGTTAAAAAAAATTAAATACTACATTTGAAATACTATTTCTTCTTCAGTAAATAAGAATAAATTACTAACTTTATTAAATCTTATTTTTTCATTGTTGCTTTTTTGCACTGCTTATAATGATAAATTAATTTACATATGAACTATCTTACTATCAATATTCTGGATTTTCTAAAAAAATTACAGGTTGCTTGCAAGAATCTACAAAATTTTGAGAGGCAGACACTGAGTCCTTACTTAATCAATGTCACTCTAGCAGCTAAAATGTGTCACCAAGCACTCTGCCAAGATCAAGGACTCTGTACCCGGAAAAACTGGAATTCGAATGACTATCTTCACCTGAACCCAAGAAATTTTCTTATTAAGTTTGCATATTGTGACAAGTTCACAGTATATGGGGAGCCCTCAGTTGAAGACCTAAAGAAGTTTTCTGATAAATTTGATTGCACCTGTTTTTCCAATGTCACTTGTAAGAAGAATGACAACATAGAAAATGTTAAAAACATAAGGGTATGTATTAATGAGGAAGTTTGCATATCAGCCTTTGTAAGCCCAGAACACAACGTAATTCCTACTGTAGGATCCAGAAGCACCACAATAAAAACCACCACAGAAATTCAACAAACAATCTTCTAGTCAAGTAAACAACCTCACAGACTCCTGTCTATCACATAGACTCTAGTTTTTCTTAAAATCCTATCAATCTTACCCATTGATGTCAGAAGAGCCATCCTCAACAGCAACCAAGGGAAAGCTGTCGAAGTATATCCACACTCTCACTATTGATATCCTTTATGTTATAATACTTAATATATAGCCTATTCAGATTTAATTTTAGTAGTTCCAGTTAAATGTATATCATTTTGATATTTGAAATTGATTAATGAATGCCCCTAATAACAGTTGACCTTTTTCGGAGGGGGGTGGGTGGGCCAAATCTGACTCTAAATAAATGAAAATTGATACTGAGTTTTGGTTTAATAAACATTGGAGTTTTAATCTGCTTATTAACTTGCCAAATAAATTGTGTCAGAGGTTTTTCTGTCTTATATTTGTATTTGTTATGCAAAGTTTGGGAATAATTTATATATTGTGCACAGCATATCTAGCTAGATTAGTCTGTTTTATTCTTCATTCTATCAAAGACTAATCAAAAGACCTGTAACAATTTGAGGTCAAGATTAATTCTTAGAAAAGTAAAGATCTAGATAATACAAATTTACTGCAAATAAGTGTACAAGCAGTTTACAATCATAATAAAATACTGCAAATTGTTGAGATAAAAATGACTAATACAATGCTTTGTTCTAATAATACAAAATGTTTCTATTTATCATACTACTCTTTTAGTTATATCATCTTTATGATTTACTTGTATTGAATAAAATACTTTTCTATTCACTAAATTATTCATTATTATACTTTTGATTTTTGCTCAGTGTAGTTTATATTCATAACTCATTTATATGTATATATAATACTAATTTTTTTACTTTTGATTTTCAAATGTGAAAATCTGTGTACCTAATTTCCTATTTTCTTCAAATGTCAATGCCCCTATTTACAGTTTACTTTTCGTGTGGGGTTTGGGCCATACTTGGCAATGCTCAAGTTTTATTCCTATTTCTGCTCTCATTAATTACTTCCTGAAGTGCTCAGACGATCCTAAGGAAGCCAGGATTGGAGCACAGTTTGACCACATATAAGCCCTACCCTCATTGTTACCATTCATGCAGTTATCTCTTTTAGCAAAAAGTTTTTCATAAATAAGTTGTCCTTTAATTATTATTGATCAATAAATTAAAAATTGACTAGGACCTTCATTTGAAAATAAGGGGGTAGAGACATAAAACAATGTTTTAACCATTTCCCTTCTTGTGGCTAGACACAGTTAGAGTCCCAGCACAGTAAGTAAATAATCCCTCGAGAACTCGCTGGTAATATCCCTGAGCAGAGAGCCAACTACAAGCCTTGAGTATATGGATACGGACCTAAAACAGAACAACAACAGCAACTAATCACACTACAGTTGAATCTAAGTAAATGAAAACTGATATTGGATTTTGATTGAACCTGCATTTGATTTTAATCTGATTATTTACACATCATAAAATTGAGTTTGTAAGAGGATGTCTTATCATATTTTCCAATTATTATGTACAGATTAATAATACTTTATTTTTTGTTCATAGAATACCATAGAGCTGCCTGTTATACTCCTCATTCTACCAAATACTAATGAAAAGATCTGTAACACTTTGGGGTCAAGTTTACTTCTTAGCAAAATGAAAATTCCAATGATACAAATTTACCACAAATAAATGTACAAGTAATTTGCAATCATTACAAAATGTTACAAAATGTTAAGTTGAAACAATGTATTTTAAAATGCTTTGTTCTAATAATAAAAACTCTTTCTATGCATAATATTAACTAAATTTATTAGCTTTTTTGTATTTTAGTGTATTGAATCAAAGGTAATATATTTACTAAATTATTCTTTATACTACAGACTTTTACTCTTGGTGTAGAATTTATTGAGAATTCATGTATCTATTAAATATTAATTTATTTGACTCTTGGTTGTCAAATTTGAGATCATGTATACCTAAATTTTCTTATTTTCTCTAGTCATTAATTCACATCCTTCTAAAAACATCCGAGGGTTTATTTTCTGCTAGCCTTAGTATAGTCACAGATAAATCAAGATGAAGTAGCATATTTTTTTGTGTTTAATAAGTGTGCTGCATTTTATCAGACAACATGTAAAGTGGAAAATGACAACAGTGTGTGAAAAACATTTTGCTAGATGCTCAGCATATTCTAGCATGCAATTAAGAATTTGTGGATGTCTGAGTATAATTTCAGGGAAGTCAGCAAAAAAAAAAAACAATGTCTTGTTGAATGTAGTTTATGTGGTGACACAAACAGAAGTTTTCAAAGGATAATTTTTAGAATAAAAAATAGACAATAACTGGATAATGAACTCCTTTATGAATCACTACAACAGAGAGTAGAAAGTTCCCATCCTCATAAGAGCAGACACTTTATTAATGCTTGCATTAAAACACCCATTTGCTTTGCTACAATGCTATTCCCAAAAATAGTCAGAACGATCTGAAAGTAGCTGAGCAGTAAAAATCTACTAAACATTATATGGTTGACACTATACTGATGATGAAATATTTTGTTAAAATGTTTTGTTAAAATTTCCATCAATAGAAAACTTTTAAACATATGAATTCAACAAATTGGTTTAATTACCTGGAATGTCATAAGTATTTCATGTGCATTGATTATAGTGTTTAGTATATGTAATTCCTTTCTTCTTAAGAGTTAATACTTATTTACCTTGGCTAGGATTTCCAGTCACAAAATAAATAATTATTTATTGCTTCAGCCTATCATAGCAGCTTTAATGTTTTCAAAATTAAAAAAGGACACCAGTGGCTGTAGTGATAACACAGCATAAGGTATTGTCTTGCATATTGCAAACCTGGTTTGATCCTGAGGACCCTCTATGTCCTGGAACACCACAAAAGTGTCAAAAAAAGAGCGTAGAGCCTGGAGTAAGTCCTTGATTACTCTCTGTGGTCCCAAAGAATCTTAGAATAGAAAAGCAAAGAAAAGTATCAATCTAAGGACAGTGTTTCATTAGATGTCCTAAATAAATCATGATATCTTGAACTCACTTTGAAATATTTTAATTATTGATTGTTCAAATTCAACCAAATAAGTATATCTCTAAGTGAAGTACATACTTTATTCATATTTTAAAATACATATCAAATTTAATATGAAGAATCATGGAATTAAGTCCATTTAATTAGTTCAAACTATAATTTTAGAAGCCATACTTTTCATTCTACTTAAACTTGTGTAAAATTGATATCTATCATAGTTACTTATTATTTCTTAAAGGCTAAAAATGATATGCAGCCCCTACTCTAAGTGTTGTTATGTATCTAATACATTTTCATCTTATGAGGCAGATGCTAGATTTATCTTCATTTGACATATGGCGCAGTGGAGGCATAATAAGGTCAATTAGTTTACCAAAATTTATCTGGTTAAAATATGAAAACTTAGAAAATATGTCTTGAAACAGAAGACAGTAGAGGGATTAAGGTACATGTTCTACATGCACTCCACCAAGGTCTGATCTCAATGATTAGGTTATGTATGGTTTACATGAGACCCATTGTATTTACTGGTTTTGTCATATCGAATATGCAACGGTTACCTTGCCAGGCTCTACAGTGCAGGGATGATACTATTGGTAGCTTGCCAGGCTCTCCAAGAGGGATAGAGGCTTTTGGGGCAGCCTCTAATCGCCCTTGTAGGTGTTCCCATGGTTCAAACTACATTTGAACCCTATCAAATATGGTGTCGCGATCCTGGAATATGGGTATTAAGTGCCTCTATGATGTGTTGTGCGGCTGCAAAGCAGCTGTGTGGTCCAGAAAGCATCCTGGAGCATGGTGACGGCTGGAGGTAGTGGAAGTAGTGGAGGTAGTGGAAGTCTGCCGGTGACATATTTATCTGGTACCAGTAGGGTGGATCTCTGTGCATAAGCCAATCCCTGGGTCGCAGGCAGTTGGTGGAAGCAGACAGGGCAGGGTAGGGTGGGTGGTCATCAAAGCCCTATCCAATTCAAACTCAATACACCAGGATCCACTGTGAGCTGTTTTATGGATTCACTACCAGGATCTCACCATTCTACAAAAAAGTGATCATCGATGACAAGAGAGGGGTTCTGCAGGGTGATACCATTTCACCAAAACTCTTCAGTGCCACCCTTGAGAACATCATGTGATGACTGGAATGAGAAGGAATTGGAGTGACGATAGATGGTAGGCAACTACAACACCTCTGCTTTGCTGATGACATTGTTCTAATAACACCAAACATCAGCCAAGCGTCACAAATACTGACCGACTTTGACCGTGAGTGTAGAAAGTTCGGATTCAAATATGGTTTGAACCATGGGAACACCTACAAGAGTGATTAGAGGGTGCCCCAAAAGCCTCTATCCCTCTTGGAGAGCCTGGCAAGCTACCAATAGTATCATCCCTGCACTGTACACAATTGAATCTCACAAAGACAATGTTCAAGAGAAACAATCCTGTTCCTGACGTTCCATTTACTCTCAACGGAACGCCATCTCCAAGTGCAACAGTTATGTATACTTCGGTCAAGAAGTCAACATTATGAATGAACTGGCACCTGAGTTGTGAAGGAGGAAGAGAGCGGCTTGGAACGCCTTCAAGAGCATCGAAGAATTAACTAAGAAGATGAAGAACCTCCAGCTCTGATCACATCTCTTCGATTTCACTTTTCTTCCTGCATTAAGATGTGCCTCAGAGAACCTAAGAAAACCCTACAAAAATGGGATGAGAATACTATTTGGGTCTCTCAAAGAGGAATCGAAAGAGCTATGCTTGGAGTATCATGCTTCACTCAAATGAGAGAAAGAATCCGGAGTTCCAAGCTCCATCAACACTCAAGAATCAGGTATGCTGTCTCGTTTGCCGAGGAATCGAAAATCAGATGGGCTGGACACGTAATGAGATTTAGAGACAACCGCTGAACTAGAGCCAATAGAGCCAATACTGGATTCCACAGGACATCAGAAG